CTGTCCCCGATGTGCCAGTGTATCTAAACAACCAAGGAAGACGGAATTGCAATCCTGGCCAATACCAACGGAACCACGGTCAAGGGTACACGCCGAATTTGTAGGTCCAATTGACGGTCATCATTTTCTCCTCGTTGTCGATGCCCACAGTAAATAGCCAGGGTGATTCCAATGATGAGAACCACAGCAGCAGCCACTATCTCCGCTCTCCGACAGATATTTTCTCGTTTCGGTGTTCCCCATACGTTAGATTTGGACAATGGTACACAATTCACCTCATCTGAATTTGTTGTCTTCTGTCGCAGAAACGCGATCGTCCATATAAGCTCTCCATCTTTCCACCCAAAATCGAACGGGCAAACGGAACGCTTTGTGGATACACTCAAAAGAGCTTTGCTAAAAATGAAAGGGAAAGGTACCTTGGAGGAGATGCTTGACACATTTCTTCTGAAGTATCGCGCAACTCCGAATCCTCAGACACCGAACGCACTATCTCCGGTTGAAACTTTGTTTCAAAGGAAAATCCGTGTGCCGAATTATGCCCTCAGACCCAGGAAGGATCAGTTACTGTCCCGCAACTCTCAGATGGAGCGTCAATTCAACATCCGACACGGTGCTCGGAAGCGAGCCTTTAATGTTGGTCAATAAGTTCTGGCGAGAGATTATCGCATCCACTATCCTAAATGGGCTATGGGCCATGTGCTATACAAACATGGTAACGTGATCTACGGTATCCAGGTTGGGACGGCAAGTTGGATAAGACATGCCAATCGGCTTCTAGAGGCAGAGGCTGGCGAACAACTGCAACAATAAGTACCGGAAGCGCAGGTACTTCTGGACATCCTGGCCGACGCGGGTGAAGCGAAGACTCCCCAACATACCCCAACAGAGCAAGCACAACATTCGCCCCGAAACCTAGCAGCACAAAGGCCGAAGCGGCGACGCAAATTCCTGTCACCCATGCAAGTCAACTCTAAGCTGAAATCGTACAACACAACTCAAAGGGGGGAAGTGTTAGGAAGGAATACGCGATGAGAACAAGCCAGGATCCCATCGCCGCGGCAGGTGATCCAAACGCACCCGCCCTGATTGGGGCGAACAGAGAGCCAACCGGGGGAAGCGGCTAATTAACGCGAGGGCGACGTTCCTTTATTTGTTGTAAGTTGACCGTTCCAGAGCTTTCTACGCTTGCTTTAAATACCATTCACGAACTTTCCATTTTACCTTTATAATGAACGGTGTGATTTGCTGATTCATTCCTGTTGCTCTGCTCGTCCGATCCGCTCTTCTCTCTATCCTGTGGGGGGGGGGGCAGCGACTTCGGGTTTGATTGGGAATCAAGCGTCCATTCAGGCGAGGGACGAACACTTCAGTTTCAGTCTCTTGATCTGCACCTTTGCTTCTGGATCCTTGCTCGTTACCCTAACGCACGACACCACAGCTGAGTCCGTTTCTTTCTGATAAAAGTTATTTTTGTGCGAAACTAGCTGAGCAAATAATAATCAGTTAGATTTAACAAATCGCTCCCTAAAATGCAGAAATAATGTGTGTATAAACCAAATTTTCACTGTTGTTGCTGATAGCAGAAGGGGCTGCCAAGTGTTACACGCGAAACTTTCATATGGAAGCGTTTCAGCAACGTTTGTTTGTGGAACCAGTCTGAAATGGACATTCTATGCGTTAACAGTTCAGAAGGATTAAAAGGCTTTTGGAAACGGAATATTGTTGTGTTGCCTTCTGACGTCTTCGCCCCAGGACCGTAAGAAGAAGTTCAAAGACGAGGCAGAAAGAGACTTGTATACATGAAACCACCGTTGCTTATGTAGTGTTGAAGGCAAAATGAAGGGAAGCTACTCAATTACAGTTGAGCCAACCAACAGCAGGAAAACGTCAAATGCAACGGGCGAATAAGCAACCGTGTAATCAAGAGCAAATCTCATATATCCTTAAAAATAGTATCATAGGACTTCAAGGGTAACGCGAACATCCATTTACAGTGATGGGCATTGGCCAATCAGAATAACGAAATGAAGCGTTTAAACAAATGTCGCGAAACAAAGGAGAATAAGAAATGCAGACCCAAAAACTAAAAACTAGTACAATAATCGCGTGACAAGTAACTATTCCTTTAACATAACCAAGTAGAACAGTGATGCGGAAAAACCAATGGAACGTGTTCTTGTATATGACACTGCTGAAGAGGACACAGCGATGAGCGTGCATTAACAATGACGTGTGTGTACCAATCGGGCTAACACAATGAAGCGTTTAAACAACAATAATCACAAGTAGAAAATAGGAGGAATAAAGAATGGTTATTTAACTCGTTCAGCAAGTGTTACGCGAAAATTCCATACGGGGATGTTTCAGCACTGTTGGTTTGTGGAACCAGTCTGAAATGGACATTCTATGCGATAACTGTTCAAAAGGATTAAAAGGCTTTTGTAAAGGAAATATATCGCAAATGCGATTGCATTGACTTTCGAAAGGCTCAGCTGGCTCCACACTGTTGGGAAATGGAAGAGATTTACATATGAAAGTAAAGTGTCAGCCATTGTGTTGTGTCACTGCTGACTCTTCACGCGCCCACGACCGCAAGAAGAATAAGAATACGAGCCAGGACCGAGTTGTATGCATGAGAACACTGCTTCCTTATATGGGGTACAATAGTTTATGAAGCAAAGCTACTAAGTACATTGAATCCAGCCTATATTATAGCAAACAACGAATAATACGAGCGAATGAGAAGTCGCAAAAGCAGGAACCAATCTGGTGGATTCGCGGAAACTGCATTAGCGTAAAAAGACCCCCGAGATAACTTACATTATGAACGACTTGGACCAGCCAATCGAAACAAATGAATGATGCGTTTAAACAATTGTCAAGAAACAAACGATAGCGAAACGAAAGCAGACGACTAAGCTTTATAGCAAAAAATATGTCCGTTGAGCATTCCCCTACCAATTTGCCCCAACTGACGTAGAAGTAATGAGTCCACAAAACGATGTAAGTCCATGATCCAATCCATTAGATCGTGCGGCAGCTTTCTGCGCTTGTAGCCCCAAAACCTGAGAGGGAAATCTGCTGCTTGAAACCTGTCGACCTGCTACGATTATTCGCGCAGGAATTTGTCGATTCGAGGTACAGGAACAAAATACCGGATGTGTATCCCAGTACTGAAATAAAATGAAATGCCATGTTTTGGGGGTTAACAAGGGGGTCAACAATCAGTCATGTGTGTTCCTACCCATGGCTCAGTGAGTTGTGTCCCCATTTTGCTACAGAATCACCATGCGAATGAATCCTACGGGACTTAGGAGGAGGTGTGCGCTACCGACCAGCTTAAATACAACGTAACATGTATACCGATCATTTCTGTCGGGCTGAATTTGGTAAAAATGAATTCCACAAAGTACTTTTCCATATTTAGTAATCGCCCGGACCAACGTATGCTTGCTAGTATGATGAAGGAATTGATAGCTTTAGGGGCCACCTCTGTCCTCTCTGTAGGTTGGCACTTTGAACCGTAGAATCAGTCACGGCGGTGTCCGCCGATGGCCGAGTGGCCTGCGTGCCTGGTTGGCAACCATAAGGTCACCGGTTCGAATCAGCGTAGGAGTGGGTGTCCTCGCGGTGTACTCAGCCCACGCACGACTGGTGGTGGTCGCGTGGCAGCGAAACGCCTATACGGCGTACAGCTGGCAATTTGTTTATTTATTATTTATTCACGGCGGTAATCCACCTTACCCGGAATACTGTGGCATAAGTTGATTCAGAAACCAGGGAATACGCACTAATATCAGGTCCCAATGGGACGAAGTGAATGCCTCCATATATGTGAGGTGGATATCCGAAAGATCTACAAAAATGCTGCCGTATCACCCTTACTAATTTTTAACTAGGCGTCAGGGCATATGGCAATGTTACTACTGGGATACGTCAAAATAGAAAGCGGAAGAGCCTGCTCAATTAGTTGCAACCAGCCACAACAAACCCGTCGTCGATATACAGCGGTACCAACTGAAGTTGCTCAAAACCGCTCCTGGATTGCTATTTCTTGTGCTGGGTGCTTAGAATTCGTACAACGGGATTAGTGTACAGGATTGGTAGCCTAAGAACTAGACGCTGTCCATGTGTCCAGAACTTCTCTACCATTGTTATCAAAGAAAGTCACCACGAAGCGGTCAACACGTCGCGACAAATGCCACCCATTGGAGCGTCGTATGACAACAGTAAAATTAACCTGGTACCTGAATGACAACTGGAGGACAGAAGTTTGTGCAGTTCTACTGAAAAGCAACAGAATAACGGGTAAAGCAGCAAATGACCACGTTGTCACCATTTAGGCGGACGCGACTGACGGATACTTCACACCGAAAGTTGGTTTACTGGGCGCAAGCATACTTTGTTGGCTAAGTACAGCGCAGACTATCACCAGGTGTCTGGATCTCAGCGTTGTCGCTTGTCTCAGATTGCTTCGACTCTGCATTTGATAGACGACTTGTCTAATTAAATAAACGGTTCGGTCAGTCAGTGCTTGTCAGTTTTCGTCCCCAATGCTGCGTTCTTTTGCGTCCCCCACATCCCTCACCGGCCTATCGCCTTACGCTAATTTAAGCCATCGCACGTCTGGGTCGATGGGGTGAAGACGCAGAATACAAAAGCATATGCGCGCTTACATACGCACACGGATTCGTGCCTTCACCACACGGTAGCCGTGACACACGCACGTAAGGTGTGCACTTATGTCAGCAATCTGGGTGGTTCACGCACGCTGTTGATGTGGGACAGTGTGAAATGATGAGCCGAGATTTTATTGGTCCGCTGTGTATGCCTGCGCGCGAATTGGTGACAGCCAGTGTTGGCGCGCGCAACGCGTCCGCATTCCACGCAAACGTGGTGCATGTTCGGTGTGTCTGCGGCCTGAAAGAGGACGTTTCATCCGCAGTCGGTTTGAAGGACAGTGGGTGGAGTTTGACAAGAGAAAATTGTGCGCAGTTATGGCCGTGCAAATGGGAACTGAGATCAACGCTACACTATGCTTGAAACATCATTACAATTCAAGCAATCTGAAGAATGACGAGGAGACATCGCTGAGTGTTCGATTGAACGACAACATCATTTCCATGGAGAGTCACAAAGCGGCACTAGCTGATCACGTATCTCGCGTGAGAGATATGCGGTTTAAAAGACGACTGAGCAATATGACCGAGCTCAGTGCCAATGGGGTACGTAAGTTGAAGAGATCGAAACCGCAAAGCCCCCTTCAGCAGCAGCAGCAGCGGCAGCAACAGCAGGGTGAAGTTAGTGACAATGTAAAACAGGACGTCGGTCGTTTGAAAGAAACAACAGAAGTTGCACAGTTTTCTTCCACTGAAACAACCACTGTCCCAGAAAGGTGTGCAAATTATGCGAGCTCGAACAAACGCGGTTTCGAAAATGTCGTGTCTCGTTATCCATATGTTCCCAATCACTCCGACTCTACGAGTGGTCCACGCGCTTTAAAAACATCTACCTTCTCCATCGATTCCATCATCAGTGAGACTACTTCATCGACTATGAGAAAGAATGACGCACCGTTGGAGCCCAGGGGAATGAACAGAAAGCTGTCCGACAGTAACCTTTCCTGGATGAGTGAGTTCGTTTAACGTGTCGCATTTGTATCACTGTTAACAATACTTTATTGAAGGATGAACTGTAGTTCTAGAGACTGTTTCATTATGAAGGAGTTTGGTTATTCTCAGATTTGAATATGTTTGCTACGGAGTATCATCTCCAGACTAAGCATGTCTATTTACAAGATACCATGATCCACTTCAATGCAATTTTCAGATAAATTTGGCAGATCCGACTGCTCTATGAATAAGGCAAACTCCATGTCCTCAGCTAAAAGTATTCGCAATAATTACCACTCGTTTCATTAACTTTACTAGACCTCTGTTGGTTGTTGTGTGAAAGTCAGGTAAAGTAAAGTATACGCACTCATTTGTAGTGTAATATGTTATTGTATTTCATCCCAATTCATTATGCTAGAATACGTCCAAGTGTTTTGAGTTAACTGATCTGTGCTATTTGGCTTGTGACTTTACAAGGGGCTCGGCAAGTTAACTCGGATCTTTTCCAGTTAAGCCACTAATGCAAAAAGAGCACGCGCAAAAAGTTAAGACTCGCCTCTAAGGCAAAAAGGGTACACCTGAAAAGTCAAGCCCCACCAATAGTGCAAAAAGGGCACGCGTGAAAAGTTGAGCCCCGCCACTGTTTGCCAGCTCCAGTGTACGTAATGCATGTGAACGTGCCCCATAAAACACTCCTTATCCGCTTCTAAGGTCATTTTTGTCCAAAAAATTTCTACGTTCGCACGTAAAACCTGACATGAACTTTCTGACGCTTTCGGCGGTCGTTCATGACAAGGAAACAGCAATACGTTTTTTGCAAAGCCATGGAGTGATTCATCATCAACGTTTATGCAGACGAGGACACCAAATGACACTTCCAACTGTTTCTGACAGGTGGAGGTGTGATGTCCGACAGTGTTGGCAAGAAATCGGTCTTCGAAAGGGGACTTGGCTGGAGCGGTCTAGGATGGATTTCAGGACAATAATCCTATATATTTATTGCTAGTCCAAAAATCTGACAACAATCAAATTCTGCTCAGAGGAGTTATCTATTGGCCACGCGACCGCTGTCGACCGGAAGAACTTTCTTTGTGAAATTTGCGCCTGGCAGCTTTTGCAGACTCCAACGATTGTCGGCGGCCCAGGTCTACATGTCGAGATCGATGAAACCCTAATATCACGTCGTATAAACCATGCAGGGCGAGTCCTTCCCCAGCAGTGGATTTTCGGAGGGATTTGCCGGGAGACTAAAGAAGTGTTCTTGTATGCAGTGCCAGATCGAACTGCGGCCACTCTGCTGGACCCAATCCAGGCCTGCATCGCTCCCGGCTCAATTATCATTTCCGATATGTGGGCATCATACCAAGGCATTGAATCGATGATTGGCATGAGTTATACTCATCAAACGGTTAATCATACCGAAAACTTTGTGGATCCAACGACTGGAGCTCACACACAAACCATCGAATCTCTCTGGCACATTTACAAGATGCAGAATAAGTGCCAATGCGGCACACACCGATCTTTAGTGGACAGCTACCTGTGTGAGTTCGTTTGGAGGCCAAGACACTGAAAATTGGACTTTTCATGCAAATTATTAATGAGTTGTCTCAATTTTACCCTCTTCAATGGAGAGTAAAAGTTCAAATTCCATATCCTCCCTTTTCATAATCTTTTTTGGGTGGCGGGGCTTAACATTTTGGCGGGGCTTAACTGGAAAAGATCCGTTAACTCAGTGACACAGAAAGGAGCTTTTGAAAACCGAGCATTCTGCTTATTGTGCACCTAACTGAACAAACATCTCACCTGCGTACCAGAAGAAGGAAGCCGTTTGACACTCACCGCTCAACTGCTCTCACAATTGAGACATCGTCGCGTACGGAGAGATGTGCAGCCACGCTTCCACACTGGCGTTGTGATTACATCAGAATTGTCAGTTTGCTTCTGGGGGGTCAGTAGACAACGCAGTCTGTGTCAGACCCCCAATTTATGTCGCTGCTTGACCTCCTCGCTGGAGTGATTCAACGAGTTTTCACTGTTTACCTACCTTCACCAAGCTGCTTCGACGTTGGGTCATTCGTAGTTGCACTGTGTTGACGGGTGTGTTCCAGGAGGAGAATTTAAGCCAATACAACTTCCATCAGCATTTTGAGCGTGACTCGCCCTATCGTGTGCATCACAGAGTAGTACACTGTGTCGCGCTGCAAGGAACCAAAGCCTAAAAAGTACCTATTCCGGGATCAGCGTACTCCGACATGTGGCGTAAACAACAGTCATAACGTTGGTTCAATTGGACAGGCTGGATTTGCATCAAAGTTACTCTGCTTTTATAGTGTATCTTATTATGGCATTTTTCTTCATACGACTGACCTTCAGTGATGTTCATGGCAATTTGAGGTGCATCCTGCCCACTTATCAATTTAGATACTCGAAAGGGTAGATTTTCAGCACTTTACCATATCTATTGTGTATGTTCCAATTCAAAATCATACAAAATAAAGTTGTACATGGAAAAGATTAGCGTAATTGCCAAGCAAACAAACTATCCCTACTCTGCGTCTTACTGACAGCAGATTGTCAAAGACCAGTTTATTGATCTGGACGAGGAGTTCTGAAGTTACAAGGCGCTTTTCGAAAACTGAATGTGATATGCGCAATATTTCAAACAGTATTAGTGGCCTGATAACCAGTGCAACAGAAGGAAATATCAAAAATCTAAGTAAAAACTGATAAATCTGCAGCAGATAAATTAAGAGCGATATTCCAGTGAGAATGCAACGACCGATGTAAAACCCTCTGGATAATGACGTACGCAAATGCCGGGTCCACGAGAAAAGTTCACCTATCTTGTTGTCCCCAATGAACTGGCTAGTCGCAGAGGTATCGTTGACTCTTCGAACACATACTTCCAGTGTTATAGTTACGCAGCACCTCATCTGACGCCTGGGTAGATTGTACTTAAAAAGGTGACCTAAGTTATACGAATCACAAGTTTTATTCATGTTGTTTTAATGGGGCAATATCATTGAGGAGAGGAATTGCCTATACGCCAAGTGCGCGAATTTGGTAATTTCGTTTAACTTAGCACGTCCACGAACGAGGAGATTCGCTTGTCACTCATACAATTCGAACCGGTACCACGATGCCGCAGAAGCGGTCCAGGCAACCGCGGAAAAATTATTGGGCGACCAGCTGCAAGTAAAGACTGCAGTGATAACTCGAGGAAAGTTAAAGCGGCATTTTTTACAGCTCGCCAATCTGTGTGTCTTTCACAGTCTCAGTATATCAGATGTGATTTCTCAGTTCCAGTAAGCGTCAAATGACTAATCGTCGTTTCTGAGAAGTTCATTGATCAATTAGGCAGTGCCAACGGAAGGTTGACACGTTCATTTTGAAAGCCGTTACGAAGCAGTCCACTTGGTTGCATTGAATGCCCCTAAGGTTGGATTGTTGTTACTTTAGGAACGATAGACTAGTTTGCCAGTGGAATTGTGAGACTCGAATATGTGGAACTGGGGCGGATCTCCTGACGGGATCTGCAGCCGTTAAGATAATAGCCTTTGGAATAGTGGGTACTAGATCGTGCAGACTTGTTGCAGCACAACGTTGGAGAAGACTGCGAAAGGGCAGAGAAAAATGGGCACACCATGCTGCGGATGGGTGCGATGGTTCACTCAAACGGTTACACCGATCATGGTCCACGAAACGTACACTTCTGTTAGCAAATTCGGTGGTGTATCTATCAGTCCAAAGAAGTGGGCAGCCGCTTGGTCATGAGAACGTGTCCACTAGTTTGCACGCGTTTCGTTGTTTATTCTCCGGTTTCGGCAGCTCGTCTTTGCAGTGACCAGGAATGGTGTCGGGGGACCGACTGTCGATCGACAAACATACAACTGCGCATGCATTACCTGGACTATTTTGGCACGTGTCATCCCACATATGGCACCAGCACATCCACTACAAAGTGCCGGAATCGAGCTCAGTGTATCGATATATGGGACTGATCAGGAAGCATTGATAGCGTTACACTTGAACAAGTCCGCCAGCTGCTTGTATGACTATGTGTGCACACGCATGAGAACGAAAGCAAGTTTGCCCACTTTTGTAAATATGCAAGTTGTTTATTTTCTAAATATTCCACGATAAGTGGACAGAGGACGGACGACTGGGGGGGGGTACGGAGATGGACCAAAGCTACTACCACGGGCACTACAATGATGGCAGCTGCGGCTACCCATGTGGTCGCAAAACGTAACATTCTCGCCTGGATTTCTGATGAAAATTAGAGAACATGATTGTGACGCACCGGAGGTGAAGCGCCATCTAAGATGCACACCGGGTGAGAAAAATCGCAAATGGTTTGACATTTTCTCACAGTTAACGACGGACAAGCCATTCAACTGTAGTACAATCAGAATTGTAGTGATCCTGCAGCCTGCACCATGAGGAGCTACATTGTACACAAGACCGGGAGTTGTACAATGCGGTGGAGAACGGAGAAATGAAGTGCTAACGCGAATTGACTACTTCAACTGTGGCCGGGCCACAATGCTTGAAATTCTCTGAAGAAGGGAGTAGATGCGGATTTCTTGCTGTTCTGCGATATGTGTGCTAATTATGCATACGTTTCGTTGCCTGACAAGGCAACATCATCAGTGCGGCTTCAGGGGCCCGGTTCGCAGGGCATCGTAAGCGGCTTCATTGTCCAAGTGCTTATTGATTGAGTTCTGTTTTGAATGCCTGACTTCAATGAACTCACATGCTTGCCGGCTTTTAGCCCTTCCGGGGATGCTGGCGTGCTCTAGGTCCAACCGATGGTTCTCGGCATCTGTACGCACTGACATCAGGGATTTCTGATCGTGACGACGAATTGCTAGATTGTGTTAGTGTAGCGTTGTACCAAGCTTTCTTCCAGTCTGTTCCACGTAGTATTTGTCACAGCTCCGGCATCAGATCTTAAAAATTACACCAGTTACTTCCACTTTGCTAAGTTTACCTTTCACTTTAAACAGTACGGCC